ACAAAGCTGTACAAGGACTTGCAGAATATGATGAATATATTACCACAGTTAATAAGCCATCGTGTTAATGGAGATGCATAATATCACCTGCTTAACCTTCTGTTTTTTTTAAAAAAAGATGATCTTGAAAATTAATACATCTGAAATGAGTTCCGTCTCTTTTCCATATAGGTTTTGCACTGTACTTAACTGGCTCAATAAAGTGATGGCGACTTATTGAAATGTATTTATTTAATTCAATTTAGGCATCTTCCAAATCCGACTCCGGGCTGGTCACAATATAACACCATAAAAAACCAATACAGACCAATACCAGAGGGGCTCCGGTCACCATATGGAGAGAAATTGCAAGATTCAGGTATTTGTGATCAGATAATCCTGATAAAAGCTTTCCAGATTATTTTTTCTTGAACAGATTATTTGCTGTTATTTGCCTTTTATGTCTGAGGTAATAACATACTCTTGATTCAGTGTGCACCATAAAAAAAATCACTTTAACTTTGGAAACTTTTGGAGTAACGAAGATCTTATTTAAACAGTCCAAAGTTTAGTGAGACCCAGTTCCTTCCCATCTCCCATGGGGAGCACACCTGTCTTTAAAATGTTCTGAGTTGCTCTTAAGAGTCTTTTATGCTGTTGTTAACAAGGAAAAACTTCTTTGCTTAATGTAAGTATTTGGATATATAAAATTTCCCTAGCTAAATATCGTGTCCCTCAACCAAGACCATAAATTGAGTGGTACATTCAATATCATATCAATAACAACCACTTCTATAAGTTCCGTATAGGTAGTCCTTGACTTACAACAGTTCATTTAACTGTTTAAATATGTTCTTCAGCATTAAAGTAATAAATATTTCAAGGAAGAAAAAAAGTGCCGTACCCATTTTTTTCACCGTTCAGAAAAATGTCTTTTGCTTTAAACGTATAGGTATTTCTTCCCCTTACAGCAGTTCATTTAATGAACGTTTAAAGTTACAACTGCACTGAAAAAAAAAGTGACTTAGGACCGTTTTTCACACTTAGTTTACTTTATTGTCATTGCACCTCGCACAACGAAATCAAATACCATCTTCAGTGCACATCACGACCATGACCATGAAAATAAACACAAACACACATCCTTCACCCTCCACACATTGAACCGAAAACCCCCGACACCACACCAACACTGCATTATACAGCAGAATTCAAAAGAGCTACTGCCCTCGGATAGAAGCTGTTTTTCAGCCTATTTGTCCTTGTTTTTATTATGCTGTACCGTCTGCCAGATGGTAATAGTTCAAAAAAAGGGTTCCCAGGATGAGATGGACCTTTGAGAATCTTTTGAACTTTCTTAAGGCAGGGGGAGCTATAAAGCTCTTCCAAAGACGGGAGAAGGCAACCCATGATCCTCTGGGCAATGACGTTAACCCTCTGGAGTGCTGTCCTATCTGCCCCTGTGCAATTGGCAAACCATACAGAGGTCCAGTCAGTTAAGATACTCTCTATGGTGCAGCGGTAGAAGGTCACCAGCAGTTTCTCATTCAGTTGTTGTTTTCTGAGAAGCCTCAGGTAGTATAATCTCTGCTGGGCCCTTTTGACCAGTGCTGCCATGTGGGCACCCCAGGTCAGGTAGGGTAACACCCGTTTTTCACACTTACGACCATCGCAGCATTTCCATGGTCACATAATCAAAATTCAGGCACTTGGCAACTGACTTATTTATGACAGTTGCAGTATCCTAGAATCACGTGATCCCCTTTTGACAAGTCAGTGGAGAAGCCAGACTCACTTAACAACCAACTGAACCGCTGCAGCGATTCACTTAACAACTGTTGCAAGAAAAATTTTCAGATGGGGCAAAATTCGCTTATCAGCTGTCTCACTTAGCAACAGAAATGTTGGGCTCAGTTGTGGCCATACGCAGAGGACTGCCTGTACCAACCATTTATGCTTTCTCCTCTGCATAGGGTAGTTGTGTTATACATAATATGAGCTGTGGGTGGCACGGTGATTAGAATGCAGTATTGTAGGCTGACTCTGCTCACTGCCAGCAGTTCGATCCTGACTGGCTCAGGGTTGACTTAGCCTTCCATCCTTCGGAGGTTGGTAAAACGAGGACTCAGAATTTTGGGGGCAATCTGCTCACTTCAGAGAATGCTGTAAAGCCCTACGGGCTATATATGAATTTAGGTGCTATTGCTATACTGTTTATCAGTATGTGAGCTGAAGGAGACCTAGAAATTATGTTTTTCACCCACCTTTAATTTTCTCTTTTTCCAGATGGACCTCACCTGCACTCCAAAGAAATTGTAGTTTGTTGTTGTAAACATCCCCGACTGGAAGCTGGAAAATGTAGCTTTCAGTCCGATGTTTGCTGCCGCCGGCTACTCATAAACAACACTGGAAAGAGAAAGATCCATCATCAAGAGGCTTTGTTTTTAAAGCTGGCAGGTACTGGGCTGTTGCCTCTAGGACCCATAACAAAGGCTTTTGGTTGAGAGGAGGAGGAAAAAAATGTGTCTGGCAAATCCTTTGAAGTTTTTCAAGCTTGGCTCGAGGCTCATGATTTAATTAGGGCAGCTGCCGGAATCCTGACAGTATGGATGATAAAAGCCTCCAGTTGACCTTAAAACAGAGGTGGGGGATGATAGCCCCTTTTATGACTTGTGGACTTCAATTCCCAGTTTGATTTATTTTAGTTTGTTGTCATTGCACCACATACAATGAAAATAAATACCATCTTCAGTGTACATTATGACTATGAAAATAAACAAAATACACATCCTTCACATTCTATATATTGAATTGAAAACCCCCGCTATTGCATTCATGTTGCACGATACAGTAGAATTCAAAAGAGCTACTGCCCTGGGATAGAAGCTGTTTTTTAGCCTATTTGTGCTTGTTGTTAATATTCAGTACCGTCTGCCAGATGGTAATAGTTCAGAAAAAGGGTTCCCAGGATGAGATGGATCTTTGAGAATCTTTTGAACTTTCTTAAGGCAGCGGGAGCTATAAAGTTCTTCCAAAGAGGGGAGAGGGCACCCAAAGATCTTCTGGACAATGACGTTAACCCTCTGGAATGCTTTCCTATCTGCCCCTGTGCAATTGGCAAACCATACAGAGGTGCAGTAAGTTAAGATACTCTATGGTGCAGCGGTAGAAGGTCACCCGCAGTTTTTCATTCAGTTGTTTTCTGAGAAGTCTCAGGTAGTATAATCTCTGCTGGGCCCTTTTGACCAGCCAGCACAGCTGGCTCAGAGATTCTGGGAGTTGAACTCCACAAGTCATAAAGGGGCCACTGTTCCCTTAACCCTTCCTTAAAAGGAATGTCAGTTTTTCTGGACAAGTGCATGAGTGATCAATCCCTGTGGGTGTATCCATTTTTCCCTGATTCCCAATATCAGTAAATGTTAACACACACACAGGTAGTTCTCAACTTAAGACAGTTCGTTCGGTGACCGTTCAAGTTTACAACAGCACTGGAAATAGTGACTTACAAACGTTTTTCAAGCTTACGACCATTGCACCATCCCCTTGCAGCGTCACATGATGAAAATTCAGGTGCTCGGCAACTGTCATGTTTACGGTGGTCGCAGCGTCAAGTGATCAAAATTTGGATGCTTGGCAATTGACTTATGACAGTTGCAGTGTCCCAGGGGGTCATGCGATCCCCTTTTGCGACCTCCTGACAAGCAGAGTCAATGGGGAAGCCAGATTCACTTAACAACCACCTTACTGTCCTAACAGAAAGGTGATAAAATTGAGCAGAACCTGCTTGACGGACATCTCACTTAGCAGTGGAAATGTTGGGGCTCAATTGTTGTCATAAGTGGAGGTCTACCTGTGTAGAGTTAGGCCATTGGTCATGATGGGCAGCCAAAGCTCACTGCAATGCTACTAGACTTGAGCCCAAGATTCCTCTTAAGGTCTGTCCATTTCTTTCTTTTCCTCTTATTTTTCATGATTTTCTGCTTTAATATGTTCCCTCTCGGACTGAGCGGTGCTATTTGTTTATTTTCTCAAATAGGGGCTCTTCAGCATTTCTGCTTCTTAAAACTACAATTTTGGACAGCTTGAGAAATATTCACCCACACGCATTCATACATTCATTTAAGTGTCTTGGCATTCCGTTGAGAACTGAATGGTTAAGGATGATGAGACATAAAAGAAGAAACATTTCAAGGTGCCTCTCTGGCATCTGAAACCCACACTCTATGCTCTTGAATGTTGGGGTGTGTCCTATGTTTTCCTCCCATTTGTTTTATGTTGTCACACTTGCAGGCTGCCAACTCTTTTATAAGTTGGCTTTAGTCAGCTGTGTTACTGTCAAGAGCAGACTGAAAGGACATCTCTCTCGAATCGGTGCGTCTCATCTCAGCTTAACCCCATCAAGTTTTCGTAGTAGGGGAAACAGAGAAAAATAGAAAGTGGCAACTGTCGTTGGCTCACGGCGAAAGGGAGATAATAAACGGAACAAATAAATAACGAGCCCTTTGCACGTTTGTCCGAAGACAAAATGTTCTAGTCGCAGAAAGGTGCAATCAAGTGCATCCGAAATCCAAATTTGGAAAAACTGGTGATGACCAATTGCAAATCAGATTTGATGTAAATTCAAAAGGTTAATATTTTGGGGCAGCTCCAACAGAGCCTTACTTAAATACCGTTATCATTATCCTCGTTTAGTTGGAAGGACAAAATATCATTAATATTATTCATTATTAAAGTTATAGCTCATCTTTGGGTACTTTGGAGAGACTGAGTAGCCCAAGGAAAGACCCACCGAGTTAATCATGTCTTGGCTTATCCTCATGCTTCTGTTAGCTCTACTATGTCTTTGGTTTACGGAAACCTACTTGTTTTATTTAGTTGAGTTCAATTACTATTCCTTTGTTCTTGCTGTGATGTTGTTTTTTAAATATGTTCTTCGGTGTTAAAAAAACCCTAATAAATATTTAAAGGAAGAAAAAAGTACAGAACCCATTTTTGCCCCGCTATTTGCAGAAGTACGTCATGACCCTGTTGGAGTTCGAATCTGAGGAAGAAGACGAACAGCTGATATGGAGTGGGAGTGTGGCTCTGCTGGCTGTAGAGGAAACTGGGGAAGGGCAAAGTCTGGCTGGACAGAGCAGGGAAGAGGTAGAACAAGGGAGAGGGAGTTCAGAGGAAGGCTCAGGCCCACCCCCTCTTCTTCCTAGGGCACGCAGGGAGGAATGAAGGAGACCAGCACGGGTTGCGTGGCTTACCGGGGAGGAAAGGGCCCTGATTCCCTTCATTAGCCACACCTGGGAATGAGAGTTGACGCATGCTGAGTGCGGCAGCTGCTGGGAGCAAATGTGAGTTTATCTTACGTTGATTTTAGTTATCTGTGTTCCTGGCCTCTTCCTGATCATGTTGAGTTATTGCCGTGTCTTCACGTCTGGAATTCCTTCTGTTGCCCTGCCAGACTAATTACCTCATTTTGCCTTGATTGGACTTATAGTTACAGTTTTTGTTGACCACATTTTGGACTTGACCACATTTCTGCAGCCACAGGCTGTTCCTGGGAGAGTTTTTCCTCCAGCCTGAAGATAACCAAGACATTAGGGGCAAAGTTAGAGCTAATAAAGGGACTCCTACTGATTATCTGATTGTGTTGCCTTTCTGCCGTGCCCAGGGTCATCACAAAAGTATTTGTTGCTTTAAATGTCCTCGACTTACAAGAGTGCAACCAGTGACTGTTCAAATTCTCAATGGCACTGAAAAATGTGACGTGCGGCCATTTTTCAATTACAACCTTTGCAGCATCTCCATGATCTTGTGATCAAAATTCAGATGCTTGGCAACTGGTTCATACTTAATGACTGTTGCTGTGTCCTAAGGTCACGGGACACCCCTTTCATGACCTTCTTGATTGTATCCCTCTGTTAATGCAACTTAGGATTGCTAAGGATAGCATTGGCTTTTTTGGGTGCACTGCACATAATTGGCTCATTTAACTGGCTGTCCACTAAGACTCCCAAGATCCCTCTCACAGTCACTGCTATTAAACCTGATTTCTTCCAGTCTGTGTACTTTTGGTTTTTCTTGCCTGAGTGCAAGACTTCACTTTTGTCTACATCAAATTTCATTTTGTTAGTTCATGTAAACATCCTACACTCAGCTTTTATCCCATGAAATGGCTGGGGGATGGAAGTTTGCTTCAACTGATTTGGAAAGACAGGCCTTGCTGAGTAGCTCATGTTGGGGACAAGGGAGAACAGCCATCCGTTTGATTCCATTCCATTTAAATGAGGGAAGCCAACTACAGAAGTGATATCTCTGGCCTGGTAAAGGCAGCCATTTTGATTCTGTGGATCAACTCAGAGTGTGCTATGTAGGCCTTCAAACATTCCAGCTCAGGACAGTTTTAGCATTCGCATTAGATCCTCTCATGCTATGTAGCGTATCAGGCAGCAAGGGATCTCTAGACGAACACTTGAGCGTCTTGTCTTTCCCTGAAGATGTTTCGCTTCTCGCCTGACATTTCTGTCAGAAATGAAGAAGTTTCTTGGATGAGAAGCCAAATATCTTCAAGGAAAAACAAAGGAAATCCAGTTGCCCCTTGAAAAACCACCTTTGGGACAACCATGACCTGGATGATTGGGAATCTCGATAGACACTTCCCACGTCATGTTTAAGAGTCTTTAGGGTCTTCTGTGAACATCCTTCGCCATGTATTTTGAGAACGTCCTCTTGGCCGTTTGGCATCAGTGAGGTCCATCTCACCGCCATCTTGGGGATTCAGTTGTTTTCCATCGGAGAATATGACCAGCCAGCTGGAATCTTCTGCGTGCGACTGTTATGTAGTTGGCAGGAGAAACTTTTTTGGAGCACTTCTTCATTAGAAACATAGTCCAAATAGCGAATCTTTAGGATTCAGCAAAGGCATCTTAATTGGAAGACATCATGTCTCTTGCTGATGCCCTCCAAGTCTCACTGGCACGAATCTCAGGACATGAGAAAAAAATAGCATTGAATAGAGATAGTATTCACCAGAGGTGCAGAAAGTAACCATAGGGTTACTATAGCTGGATTGCAACAATCCAAATGGCTGCTAGATGGCAGTCCATAGATACAAAAATTGGGCTGTTGGTTAATATTCAAATACATTTCAGATTTCTTTTTTTGTCTTTTAATGACCCCGTAATCTCTTGCATCGGGGTGGAGTCTGCACAGCGGAATGGAGCTGAGTGTTTACGACCAAAGGCCCTTCCTGTCACCAATGTGGTGTTTGCGGCAGATATATTCTCATTGCGCCCAGAGAGATAAATATCTGTCGCCATCTAGGATTGAACTTGCAGCCTTCCGATTGTGAGGTGAGAGCTCCATCTTTAGGCTATCGCACCACTCATTCAAACATGTTTCAGATACTAGTACAAAAATCTCCATACTTTGCTATGCTAACTGACTGCATGGATTGTTGCATACCAGAATGGGGTAGCCCTTATCCACACAATCAGGAATGTTGATAGTGAAAACATCAAGGTCTTCCAGTATTAAGTTGCTGCTTTTCCAATTTCTTCAAAGATGGGGTGTAGCCTTTATTCTCAAAAGGGCTCAAATGAAGTGGGTAGGGAGCGTGACTAAAGCTTAATAGTCAGTCGGTACAAACTTGTGTTCAGAACAATTGTTGAGTAATGTGCAGGCAATTCTTGCCATCGACATAGGACGCTGGTCAATTTGTTCCCTTTGAGGCTTCCTGAGTAGAATAAATTGTCCATAACCCTTTTAAATGTTTGGCTGAACCCTTTTCATATAGAAATCGATGGTGATAAATGATGATTAACTGAGGATTGAATTAGTAATCACTGGCCACATGCATGACTGTCAGCATACTATGTGCTAGCAACATGAGCACCCTGATTCATCAGTTATCTGCTCTCGTGTGGTGTGCATATTTGCAAGCTGCTAATCTTTGTGTCCCAAAATAGTATATTGTTTCACAGTCAACGGTATGGGTATAGAAAATGGTTTGAAATCATGTTCCTCCAGTTGAGATTCCTATAAAATATAACTCTCTCCCACTGAGTTGACTTTATCTTAAAAGATAAAGCCTTCTGCGTGACTTTGGTAAATGTAGTCTTGTGCATTAATCGAGTGTGGTAGCTTGGTCAGCAAAGCAAGTTTAAGGAGAACATGACTTTGAGGTGGCTCCAGACAGTTTCTGACAGTGGATCCTGCTGTGTCAAAGTGGAGTTACAAAGAAGAGAGACTTCGTGCCCTGGGAATGGAGCTGGCAACCGTTCTCCTGGTTGGAGGTGTTTCATAGAAGCTCTGTAGATCTGCCTATTAAAAGCAGGCCTTCCTTGGAGTGCCTGTACTGAGTGCCTGTAATGTGCAAAGTCTGGGAGGCTGGAGAATAACCCAGGTAGATCTCTATAGGTAAGTTATACCTCAACAACATGCTTCTTCTTGTGCCATATCCATCATTGGACATTGGCGATCATGTTGACGATCCTATTTTTATCAACAGCCGCATTAAAAAAGTGCTGTTGAGATTTGTACAAATCAGTCCCTTAGATTTTGAAGCCATGATGTTGTTCTTCTACCTGGATCTTGTTTGCCTTCAGTCTTTCCTTGGATGTTTAAGTATGCCATATTTTTCCGGGTGTCTCATAAGACGTCCAAAATATTCAAACTTTTGCTTTTTTATGGTTTTGATGATTTTCCTTGGCTTTCCCAGGTGGCTTATCACCTCATTTCTGATTTTGTCAACCCAGCTTATACATAAGAGCCGCCTGTAAATCCACGTTTCAAATACTTCTAGTCTCTTCAAGTGGCTTTCTGTCAGAGACCAACTCTCCACTCCATAGAGAAGGATAGAAAAGATGTAGCATCTGACAAGCCTGATTTTCAATCTTAGGCTTATGTCGTGACTGCAAAAGACCTTTTTCATTTTGAAGAATGCTATTGGAGCTTTCTCTATTCTTGTCTTTACTTCAGTGGTCATAGTCCAGCTTTCACGTAAATTAGAACTGAGGTACATGATCCAACTTTTTCTAATGGTATTCCTTCCAAAGTTATTGGTGGTAAATTAATGGGTTGTTTGTGGACGACCATGATCTTGGTTTTTGAGGTATTAAACTTCAAGCTGTATTTTTCAGAGATTTCTGTGACTGTTGATGAACTGAAGGACTTCATGCTTACTGGCAAGCAGAATGCTTAGATCAAGGGTCTTCAAACTTGGCAAGTTTAAGACTTGTGGATTTCAACAGAATTCCTGAGCTAACATGACTGGAGGAGGAATGCTGGGAGTTGAAGTCCACAAGTCTTAAAAGTTATCAAGTTTGAAGACCCCTAGCTTAGATTCTTTAAAAGAACACTGGCTCATGATAAAACCTAGAGACAGTGGAAGCTGAACTGAGGACAAAATAGGTCACCAGAGAGGAAGAAATAGTGAAGGTTAATTAGTAATGTCTAGAATCAACCATTGGTGTGTGAATTGTGTGTGTATGTGTGTGCACTCGCTTGCATGCACAAAGGATGCCAGTCTTGAAAAACTGATGAAAAAGCCACATGCTGGTCTTTGTGAAAACAGCTCCTGGTGATGTCCATTTGTCCGAGCACAGATGCCTAATTCCGTGTATTAAGAGCCGGCCTACGGAAGTTAATTACAGCCCGGGGTTGGCTCTAGCATCTTAAGGAGCCAGCCTTGAACTCTGCATCCTGAATCTGGGGTGTTGGACAGACAATCCTAATGTGCTAAGAGATGGGATTTGTTAGGGGAAGAAAGGTTTTTAACATCACTGGCCTGCTTTCAGCAATATTATAACAGCCTACAAGCTAGTAAATGCCGAGGGAGGGGCAAAATGTTTCATGGCATGACCATTTTGTGCAAGGAATAACTGATTTGGGAGGATTCACAATTTAAGCACCTCTCTCTCATCAGCAGCCATCTGTTCGGTACTGTGGTTTCTCAACACAGTCACAACAGCTAAATAGTGTATGAATTTATTATCCTTAGCAAGGGAGAAATCACGTTGATTTACAGTGAGGTATTGATGCTGTGCTATCAAAACCTCTTTCAATGATTGCTTGCTCTGGTCTAAACCACTGTTTTTCAACTTTGACCATTTTAAGAGGTCTGGTCTTCCAACTCCCAAGAATTCCCCGGCCAGCCATTCCCCAATTCTAAGAGTTGAAATCCAGACCTCCTAAAGTGGCCAAGGTTGAGAAACACTGCTCCAAATTCTTGTTTTCGCTTTGAATTTGGGTTTTTTTTGGTTTTGTTTTGAGTAGCTTTTTCTGAGCAGGGAATTTTCCGTTAAATATGAGAACTGCTTGTCTTGCAGGCCAAAGACTTTTGGTCAGCAGAAATCAGAATCCTCAGTGTCTCTATAGTCTGGTCTCTGTGTTGCAAAGTATGTTAAGCTAACTTCCAGCTGTAAGCTTTTATTGGAAAATTCATGAACTTGCAAAAAAATAAATAAATGGCCAAACTCTTAAATGTTTTTCAAACTTGGCAACTTTAAAGATGTATGGACTTCAGTGGCCAGCTGGAGAATCCTGGGCATTGAAATCTACTCATCTTAAAAGTTGCCAAGTTTGAAAAACACTGCTCTAGAGGAAGGATTAAAAAAAAAACCCTCAACCAGATCACAGTGCTATTCAGAATTGGGTTATGTTGTTGATGTACAAATTCCATATTGCTCCTTATTTGTGTCTCAAGTAAACTTAAAGAGGCTCAATAATTTGAACCTTGAACCTAGTCATTTGAACCTCAGTTTAGAAGAGCCTTAAATTTATTTTCCTTTATTTGTATCCTGTTTATATCTAAACCCGTTCTGAAAACTTTTTGTTCCTTAAGGCAGAATTTCTAATCATATAGATCAGGCATATCCAATCCGCAGCCTGCGGACCACATGGAGGCCTAGCTTGCAATAAAAATAAAATTTAAAATAAGACTATTTTAAAAATAAAGGAAGTTTGTTATTTATATACATTAACTATATTTCATATGCTGCTCAGGCAAGCCAAAAGGTTAGACATGCATCATGTACAATAAGCCCTTCAGTCTTGCACTAAAACACCTTTGTGCTGGGATTGGCATGTCCAGAATTGCAGCTTAAGGAGAGAAGTTGTTCCATGTGATTCTGTCATAAACTGTTGTAAACTATTCATCTTATCATTCTGCAGTTTTCCTTTATTAGCCTATGCATTCTGGAGAATGCCATTCAGATTGCAAGTTGCTTTGAGCTTTTTCATTGAAAAGCACAGAGTTCAACTCGACTCCTGGTGCCCCACAAGGACATACCTGTGTATATAAAATGAACCATGATCTGCATATAAATTTAATAAATGAGTATACTACATGCTGTGTCTACATAAACATTTCCAAGGCAACTCAGCTTCTGAAAGTTTGCTGAACATTTGAACGTGAGCGGGTTTTTTTTTTGACAGTACAGAAAGGTGAAAATCCAGTATATACAACAACATATAGTTGTTGTTTTGATTAAAACTACAGCCCATTCAAAGAGAGTTTGGCTCCTGGTAACTACAGAGACTCTTCCATGCAGTTTTCTTGGCATTAAGGAAATTGGCTTGACAGATTCCTGGGAATTTCTGCTTATCACGCAACCTTTGGATCTCCTGGTGGTCCCCCATCCAAGCATTGACTTGGTTCTTTTGGGAAACATGGTCAACTAGCTGCTGCCACCTGCTGTAGCCTCTACACCCTTCCTATGCCCATACATGTATTCCAAGAGCCACGTTCAGCATCCAGAGGTTTGGGGATCCCAATCCGTAGATTGAGCGCAACTTCCCTCGGGCTGAAAGCCTGCAAATCCTTCCATTCCTCCACTATCCTGTCAGAGCTGAAGAAGCTCCTTGGATGAGAAGCGAAAGGTCTCCAAAGGAAAAGAAAAATCCAGTTGCCTCCTGAAAAAAAAAAAAAGCACCTTTTGGGATTCCCTCCGGTTGCTTTGAAACTTTCCAGCAGCCACTAGGAGGTGGCGTAGCCGCGCAGGCGCACGGGAGGGGGGAACTGGTTCCGCCCAATGACGCTAAATAAAGGGGGCAACTCCTCCCTTCCCGCTCCCCCTCCGCGCGAGACTCTGACGTCACTCGAGGAAGCGCAAGCCCGCAGCCATGTCGGTCGCCGCAGATTCGCCATAATCCCCGTCCGGCAGCTTCTCCCGTCGCCATTCCAGAGCGGCCGCAATTAATATTTATAGAGGTCGGGGCCGGCTTTTTTCTCCCCCTTTCTTTTTTTAAAGGCTCCTTCCCGCCCTTCCAGGGACTCAGGAAAGGCGCATCGGCGGACGGCGCTTTCCCGAAGGGACGGAAGTGCGCCAATCTTCCTTTTTTTTTTTTCTTTTTCTCTTTCTCGCAATTCAAAAGGAAATACCCGGATCTTTTTCTTTTTTTTTACTTCCCGCTCCGCAATCCCGGGCTGCCATGGAGTCTCCTTCGGCCGGTGAGTTGTGGGGGGAGGGGCGGCTCGGGCCCCGTCCGCGCCAGAACCGAAGGGGGGAAAGAAGGCACGCGGCGGAGGGATCCCGTGCGGACTTTGGTGGATCCGCCACGCACTTCCGGTTCTCCGTCGACCGTGCGGGGCAAGTTGTTGAGTGGCGAGCAGATCAGACGCAGGCGTCGAAGGGGAACCGGAAGTATCCATATCCCTCCCCCCCCCCACTTTAGTGCGCCTCTTGCCCAGACCTCTTTGGGAGGGGGGGGAATCTATTTTTCCTCAGTTCAAAAAAAAATAACACTTGGGACTCCCGTGCCCATCATTCCCAGCCTCCTTAGTCCATATTCAGGAATATGTCCAGCCCTGCAGACGTCCCATGCCCTCCCCTCAAAGCCAGACGACACGCAGATACGTGATTTAAATCCGCCTCCCTTTCTCTGGTGTCCTTATTTAGCGGGCGACGGGAGTTCCTCCCCCCCTCCTTTTTTTTTTTGGTGGCGCGCGGATTGTCGGGAGTTGAAGTCCATCGCGTGGCATGCTGGGGCTTGAAGTCCTGAGGCTCACCTGGACTGCAGGATGCCTCCTTCCCTTCCTCCCTGGTATAGTTAGAACATCAGAGTTGGAAGGGACCTTGGAAGTCTTCTAGTCCAACCCCCCCACCCACCCACCCACAAGCAAGAGATTCTACACTATTTCAGACATAGTATATATATATATACTATGTCAGAGCTGAAGAAGCTCCTTGAATGAGAAGCAAAAGATTGGGCAGGTGATTGGACTAGATGACTTACAAGGTTCCTTCCAACCCTATTAATCTGTAATCTTAAATAAAAAAAATATAGTATACTGTACATTCTTGACGAATGTATCTTTTCTTTTATGTACACTGAGAGTATTTGCACCAAGATAAATTCCTTGTGTGTCCAACCACACTTGGCCAATAAAGAATTCTATTCTATTCCTATTCTATTCCTGTTCTGTTCTATTCTATTCCATTCCATTCCATTCTATATTTGATTCGATTCTAATTCTATTCTTATCCTATTCTATTTACTATACTATTAAACAGATAACAGATAATCAGTTGGAAGGCACCTTATAGGTCATCTAGTCCAACCGGGAGACCCTACACCATTTCTGACAAATGGCAGTCCTTCTTGAAAGTCTCAAGTGATGGTCCTCCCACAACTTCCAAAGGCAACTTCTGTTCCATTGGTTGGTTGTTCTCACTGTCAGAAGGTTTCTCCTTATTTCCAGGTTAAATCTCTCCTTGTTCAATTTCCATCCATTATTCCTTGTCTGGCCTACAGGCGCTTTAAAAAATAGATTGACCCCCTCCTCATTTCAGAGATTTCAGAGATCCAATCTCTTCTTAAAATCTTCCAGTGTTGGAGCATTCACAACTTCTGGAGGCAAGTTGTTCCACTGATTGTTTTCCCTCTCAGGAAATGTCTCCTTAATTCTAGGTTGCTTCTCTCCTTGATTAGTTTCCACCCATTGCTTCTTGTCTTTCTTTCTGGAGCTTTAGAGCAGGGGTCTTCAAACTTGGCAAGTTTAAGTATGTGGACTTCAACTCCCAGAATTCCTCCTCCAGTCATGTTAGCTCATTTTTGCCATTCACATTTCATTTTGTTCCTTTAATGATTCTGTTTCACCATTTTTTTCAAAATGTATAACTCTTGTCCCCCAGCAAGTTGTCCTAGATTCCATATTGGACTAGAAGACCTCCAAGTTCTCTTTCAACTCTTCTCATCTTCTGAACCATTATAGAAATTGGAAATTAATATGATTTTTTTTATTTCCTCACATGTTCCTATCTTTTATTTATCCTGCTGCCTGCGTCTTGTCTGAATATTTATTTATCTTACTCATCCAACTCAAACAAGTGACTCTTAATGGCTTATAACAGGCGGCTTCAAACTTAACAGCTTTAAGACTTGTGGACTTCAACTCCCAGAATTCCTCTTCCAGTCATGTTAGCTGAGGAAATCTGCGAGTTGAAGTCCACAAGTCTTAAGCTTGCCAAGTTTGAAGACCCTTGGCTTATAAGATTATATCAAACAAACACCCTCTCAACCACCTAAGACAGGAGTGCTATATTAGGGGACTGGAGGCTAAAACATATGAAGAATAATTGCTGGAATTGGGTATATCTAGTTCAGTGAAAAGAAGGACTAGTAGGTGACATGAGAGCAGTCTTCCAAAATCTCAGGGGTTGCCATAAAGAAGAGGGCAGTCAATCTATTGTCCAAAACATCTGAAGTCAAGAAGCAATGGGTGGAAACTAATCAAGGAGAGAAGCAACCTAGAGCTAAGGAGAAATTTCCTGATAGTTAGAACAATTAATCAGATCAATTGCCTCCAGAAGTTGTGAATGCTCCAACACGAAGTTTTTAAGAAGAGATTGGACAACCATTTGTCTCGAATGGTATAGGGTTTCCTGCCTTAGCAGGGGGTTGGACTAGAAGACCTCCAAGGTCCCTTTTAACTCTACAGTCAGGTAAATTACACTGAGCTCCATTTGACTGGTTTAATCCTCTTGAAACTCATTACCTGTAGATCCCATGATCCCAACATATCACTTTGTGCCACCTGGTGAACAACCTACCTGGAAACATCCCACAGACTATACATTGGCTAAAAATTGAGAGATTTGAGTTATGACATACTTTAATCTCTCTGCTCTGACAGCTTAAGGAAGCTGGCCCATTAAATGCCATTTGGATAGAACCAGAAAAATACCTGCTTTGAATGTGCATCCCTTGCTTTCTTCTTCTCCTCATAATTCCTATTATCAGAACCCACCAGAGTTATTGTAGGACACTTTTCAGAGCTTCTGGAAATAAAAATTATCCCTTTTTTCCTTTCCTTCCATTTTCCCAAGCTAGTCTAGGTCTGTGGTTTTTTTCCACTTTACTAACTCCAACAGATCCTGATTTCAACTCCCAGAATTTCCCAGCCAGCATGAGAATTCTGGGAGTTGAACTCCAGACCTCTTAAAAGTTAACAGTGCCAAAGTTGAAAAACACTGTTCCAGGTTTAGCATTTCCACTTCGTTTCTTTTTCAAAAGTTTTTGTTGTTGCAGTTGAGTTTTCTAATGCAGTGGCCACTAGAGGCCGCTGTTAACATTCTGAAGAGATTTCAGTTTAAAAAATCAAGACTGTTTAACCAGCTAGATGGGCGGTAAAATAGATGATAAGGAATTATGCTTGAAATAAGTTTGCAATATTCCAGAAATTTCAGGGTTAAGTGCTTTTTTTTAAAAAAAAGATGATCCTTGTGTTAATTCTACCAATGGCTGCAGTAATAAAGTATACAGAGAGCCCGTTTGGTGTAGTGGTTGGGCTAGAAACTGGGAGTCCAGGAGTTATAACTCCCGCGCCTTGGACACAAAGCCAGCTGAGTGACCTTGAGCCAATCATTTTTTTTCTCAGCCCTAGGAAGAAAGCAATGGCAAACCACTTGGAGCGGGGGTGGAGAGGTGACTTGCCAAGGGACTTATCACCCTGAAAATTGGACTTCACTGAATGGAAGAAAAAGAAAAAAGCAAACCCAAAGAGCTCACTGTCCTAATACTGCATTCATACATGCCAAAATAAATCTCGTATCAATTTATTGAAGAAAAGAAAGCACAAAGAAACCTTTTAACACTGGTATCTTTCCTGAATCAGGAAACTGCATGTAGCACAGGCAGCTTTAAGGAACGAAGGCTACTGCCTGCTTAGCAAAGCGGAAATGGAACACTTGTCAGACAGGATTTGTGCATCATTCTCTTGGGTTTGATGAAGACAAGGCTGAAAAAAATAGCTGCCCTTAAGGCCAAAAATGAAGGCTCTTGCCTGGGATCCTGAGCATTGCATTAGAACAGTGTTTCTCAAACATGGGAAAGGGATGGTCTTACAACTCCCAGAATCCCCCAGCCAGCATGGGGAAATCATTGGCCTAAAAGCTGGTTTTTACAGCTAAGGTGGGGCTAGAACTCACCATTTCCTGGGGATTGGCCCAAAGTCACCCAGTTGGCTATTATAACTAAGGTGGGACTAGAACTCATGGTTTCCTGGGGATTGGCCCATAGTTACCCATTTTTCATGCCTAAGACGAAACTAGAATTCACAAACTCACGGTGACTGGTCCAAAGTCAATCAGACGGCTTTCGTGCCTAAAATGAAACTAGAACTCACAGATTCTTGGTGATTGACCCCAAAATCACCCAGTTGGCTTTCATGCCTGAGACGGAACTAGAACTCACCGTCTCCCGTCTTCTAACGAAATACCTTAGCGACTAAACTGTGTCCTAGGGAGCCACAATGAAAGCCGGTTGTCAATTCATATCCTGCTTGTGAATATTCTAATGCCCAGATGCCCTTGGATCGCCACTATATGATACAATACACTAGACTGGGTAGATCTTTGGCCTGATCCGGCAAAATCCCCAACTTTTCCGGTCTAGCAGTTTGGAGGAAGAATGGCTACTTTCTACTTTAGAAGGTTATCAAAGGCTATCAAAAACAGGATGGTCACATTATTATAATAGGTTCACAACGTTGTGAAGTCCCAGCTGACGGTTCTTTAGCTGGTGAAGGCCTTCATATTCATCAAGTTGTTCCCAAGAATCTGGGATGTTGTAATGTATCAGCGTAGTATATGTACAGATCCAATCAGTGTGTCCTTTTCAGAGGTGGTATTCAGCAGGTTCTGACCAGTTGTGGAGAACCTGTAGTGGAAATTTTGGAGGACTGGCAAATAACACCTCTGACTGGAGATTTTGCGGTATCCTTCCCTTGCCACACCCACCAAGCCACACTCACAGAAATGGGAGTAAATAAAATTTGAATCCACTCCTTTTGCAACCGAAGATAAACATTTTGTCAAAGTTGGATACCTGTGCTTTGCTACGAAATTATGTGGTTGGGGAGGAAAATAAGGGGGGAAAATTATGCCTCTGCCTACCAGCATCCATCGGTATTCATCTGGCTAGCGTCCTGTCAGTGTGTGAGAGAGTTGAGGGCTGTTTGGAAACTGAAAGAGTATTTGCTGTGGGAGCAAGAAAGAGACAGCAAGGAGCCTGAGTGTGGTTTAGCTCAACTGTTCTGTACTAAAGCTGCTTGCTGCTCTGAAACTGAAGCTCCTCTGCTTGTGTTTTGCATTTGGCACAGATTTCTTTTCAGGTGGGGAGAGGGAGTAAAACTCTTTAGCATCAGAGCGTGTTGATACTAATATACAAAATACTAACGCTCTGATGGTCATTTCGAAAAATCCGTTCTTAGTGAGCACCTAGAAGCCAAGAGGAACATACATGCCAAATTTTAAGTTGGTAGGCTTTACAGTTCTAGAGATTTTGTGATGATGCGTGAGTGGTATTTCACATATATCCACTTTTAGAATCTCTCCCAAAGTAGGACATATGTTATTTTCTTTTACTTTTTATTTATTTTTTGTCACACAGTCAGCCAGATGTTTTGGCTGGATTTGGCTCTTTTGTCCACCTATTGAGTCTTTCCCAAGGAAGGACCTGGAATAGGCAGATATGGATGCATGATGGTGTTAGAAGTATGATCACAGGATTTAAGGCTACTCCATGTAAAGCTGCCTTTTTGCAATTGACTGTTGGCAAATTTGTCAATGCTGATGATGATCAAGAGGTGCTCCAGTTGTTTTGGGATTGCACCAAATGCACCTGTTTACTTTTGGTACTGCCCTTGCTCGCTTTTTCCACAGTCTTTCTATTTGTAGGTCTTTGTATTTTGTTAGCTTCTCCAGTTCTTTCTCTTCTCTTCTGCTGTCTCCAGGTACTGTCACGTCCAGAATCTAGAATCTTATTGACAGTTGTTAAGTGTGGTGTGTTATGTGGCAGATGCTTCTCCGTTTGAATTCAAAAGTCCCAGAACAAAGCAAAGAAGCATTATATCAAGGAGATGGTCAAGTCTTTGTAAAGAGGATAACACACATTTGACAGATGTGAAAAAATACATTTGATAGATGTGAAAAATGGCAAGACACCCTTAATATATCCTGTATCTCTTCCTTTCCCACCTGGGTTTATTTCTTTCTTAACAATTGCACAGTAATCAAGGACTTGGATACAGCCCTATTTTTCCTGAAAAGACTATTACTATTGATACTACCTTTGCTTTCTTTTGCCACAGTTGTTCTATTTCTATCTGCAAGTCCGTGTATATTGCTATTTTCTCTTGTCTTCTGCTTTCTCCAGGTACTGCCACATCCAGTATCCAGACTTTTTTTTTGTCTTTCTTATCAACAGTTTGCCAAGAATTTTTATTAGTGTAATTATCTTCATTGTTTCAGTAGTCATTGTGAAATTAATCTGATATTAATCTTGGTTCGGTGGCTACAGCTTCCCTGAGGTAGCAGTGTTCCAATATTTGAGGGGCTGCCACAAAAGGATGGGTGTAAATTTATTTTCCAAAACACCAGAGGGCAGAGAAGTAACAACAACCTGGAATTAAGGAGAAACTTCCTAACAGAACAATTAACCAGTGGAACAGCTTGCCTTCAGAAGTTGTGGGTACTCCAACACTGGAGGCTTTTAAGAAGAGATTGGACAGCCATTTGTCTGAAATGGTGTAGAGTCTCTGCTTGAACAGGAGGTTGGACTAGAGGACCTCCAAGGTCCCTTCCAACTCTGTTATTCTATTACTCTGTATGAGGTGAACAGGGCAACGGTGTCCATCTTTACACAGAAGCGAGTGACACTCTGCTTCTTCTCTAACAAGTTTCCCTCAGGTTGTGGCTCTAGTAGAGAAAACATTACAATAATACAGAGATAGAGATAGCAAATAACTCGATTTATTTTCCCAAAGCTTTCATGTCATAAGGAAGTTGTCTGGAATTTTAAATAAGGCTGTATGTTTGTAGGCTCTAAGAAGATTGTGTACAGCCAGGCGAAATGTTCTATGTCTCCTTAGCATGTCTATATACTTAATTGATTAACAGCTTCTTGGATCCTCTGCATATTTAATTCTTTGTCTAGTTAATTGCTCTGTTGACTTCCCTCCTAATTAATTACCCGCAGCCTCCTCATCAATTCCATTCATGCTTAATTTGGAATACTGCTTATTTGATTCTTTACCTTTCATTGGCTCTTTCAGTTATTGTCCTGTAGATTCCCAGCCTAATTATCAGCTGATTTATCCCTTACAGTTCACATATTTAGTAGGACGCTAGAGAGATCGGCAGCAACTTTATTAGTAGCAGCAATAATTATTTATGCGGTGTGTAGCAAGATTTCACTTTTTGGTTACTGTTCATCCTTGCAGCAAATCCGTAAAGTGTTTTGGTTTTTCTTTTGGAATTTAGAGGCAGGGCACTAAACAGACTGAAGATGGAATACACTTCCGTGGGATAACAAGTAAACAATAATAATAATCTGGTTTTGACAGGTGATGTCTTGACTTCGCTCATGCACTGAAACTGAATTTCCTTTTGGTTTTCTTCTGCTTTGTTTACTCTTCATTACAATCTTCAAATCAAACTGTCTAGCAGGCAAACTGTGTTGTTTCATTCTTCCAATCCAAGGGTCTTCACACTTGGCAAGTTTAAGACTTGTGGACTTCAGCTCCCAGAATTCCTGAGCTAACATGACTGGAGGAGGAATTCTGGGAGTTGGAAGTCCACAAGTCTTAAAGCTGTCAAATTTGAAGAGCCCTGTTCCAATCAATCAGAATACAGCTGAAAGGGACCTTGGAGGTCTTCTAGTCCAACCCCCTGCTAAAACAGGAAACCGTATACCATTTCAGGCTGCCCAGTGTTGGAGCATCCACAACTTCTGGAGGCAAGCTGTTCCACTGGTTAATTGTCCTCACTGTTAGGAAATTTCTCCTTAGTTCTAGGTTGCTTCTCTCTTTGATGAGTTTCCATCCATTGTTTCTTGTCCTGCCTTCTGGTGCTTTGGAGAATAAATTGACCCCTTCTTCTTTGTGGCAGTCCTCAATTTATGGCCCTAATTGCCAGCCTCAATTATGATACTAAGTCAACCACTACCTGCATTCCTATTTATTCAATTAGTGGAATAATTGAGTCCAACAATAATGGTCATAAGACTGTATCACCTTCCATGTTTGCTTGGCAGCAACCAGCTTACATTTATGACCGGTTGTAGTGTACTCCTGTTATTACATTTTGTGACTTTTGGGAGCATTTTCTGGCAAAAATCGCCTATTCAGTAAGCTGGTGTAAAACTCATTATAAAACTGAGTCCAGTCACAATTTTGCAATCAAAATTCTGAGCTCAGTTGTGGCCATAAGTCAAGGACTACCTGCATCACCATCATCATTTAACCACCCCATCATCCCTTGCGGGGGGGGAGTCAAGGCAACTGAACGGAGCTAGCAGAGTGTTTTAATGGCCGGATGCCCTTCCCTGTTGCCAATGTGGAGTTTTGTTCAGCAGATATATTCTCAGTGTGCCCAGAGAGAGAAATATCTGCCTCTACCTAGGATCGAACTCCTGATTATGAGGTGAGAGCTCCACCTTTAGGCTACTGCACCACTCTAATGAGGACTACCTGTATAACTTTATAGATTCCCGAAGAGTCCCAATTAAAAATAATAACACTAATAACCAGCTTTATTTATTATTTTGTTTTGTTTTCCAGGCAACAGATCCATCTTCATGTGTAAGCTGTGTAATCTCTTTTCCCCCAACCAGTCCGAATTGCTGTCTCACGCCTCTGAGAAGCACTCAGAAGATGGGACGAAGGTGGACGAAATCATTGTCCTGCTCAGGCCTCTCACGACGCCCGCCGATCTGAATAAAAACGGAGAAGGTACCAGCCAAAGATGTGAACCCTTATTGCACTCTGGGTTGTCCTAAATTGCTTCAGCCTTCAAACAACCCAAGCTTCTGCTTAATTCATTACAGCAGCGAGTCCTTGTCCTTGCGTAATTCATGTAATTAAATGTTCCCTGCGCGTAAGGCGAGGCAGCCTTCGATGGTTTCCTGAGCTCTCCAGGATGTTTGTTTTCTTTCATGAGTTAGAAGTACAGTTTGATGTCTACAGTGCCACATGTTTATCATCCCTGTCCTTTAAGGAGGGAGCGCGTACGTGCGTGAATTTAACCATCTTTATAAATTCAGCTGTGCGTTAGGGCGGAAGTAACGAAGCTGAGCGTTCATGGTTTAATAATGGATTTTATTTCCTGCCTTTATTACTTTTGTAAATAACTAGCTTGATAGCCGTGCTTCGCTACAAAACTATGTGGTTGGGGTGGGTTTTTGGGGAGGAAAATAAGGGGGGAAGGGAAATCTGCCTCTACCTACCAGCATCCATCGGTATTCATCTGGCTAGTGTCCTGTCAGTGTGTGAGAGAGTTGAGGGCTGTTTGGAAACTGAAAGAGTATTTGTTGTGGGAGCAAGAAGGAGACAGCAAGGAGCCTGGGCACGGCTTAGCTCAACTGTTCTGTAGTAAAGCTGCTTGGTGCTATGAAACTAAAACTGAAACTTCTCTCCTCTGCTTGTGTTTTGCATTTGGAACAGATTTCTTTTCAGGCGGGGAGGGGGAGTAGATCTCCTCAGCATCAGAGCGTGTTAATAATAATATATGAAATACTAATGTTCTGATGGTCATTTTGAAAAATCCTTTCTTCGTGAGCACCTAGAAGCCAAGAGGAACATACATGCCAAATTTCAAGTTTGTAGGCTTTACGGTTATGGAGATTTTATGATGATGCGTGAGTGGTATTTCGCTTTTATATATATAGGTTTAAGGCAGCAAACTTGCCTGATACTCCTTCCTCCTCCTATTTTCTCTACATCAACTCTGTCACCCAGCTGGCTTTCCACCTAAGGTGGGACTAGAACTCACAGTCTCCTGGTGATTGGCCCTACATCACCTGTCGAGTTTTCATGTTTAAGGCGGGATTAGAAATCACTACACCTGGAGATTGGCCCAAGGTCACTCCAGTTGCCTTTCATGCCTAAGGCAGGACTAGAACTCACAGTCTCCTGGCATGGCTTTCATGCCTATATCTTCTTATAGAAGATTTTATATCTTCTATCTTCTTATAAAAACATAGCCTTTGAATGTTATCACTTCTCTTATATACAAGGCATATGTTCTGACCAAGACTTCCTGAGACAGTAACAATCACGCACTATTCCCATAAATCTTTTTTTTTTAAATTTCGATGGCTGTGAATTATATGCATTCACAGCCTGTAATGAGTCCCAAACACTTTATGAATAGTCCAACAGAAGCCTGCCACAGTCTTTCGGGATAAGGCTGATAAGCTCCCACCTTTACCTCCCTTGAAATGCTGCCAAAGACTAAATTGCCAATTAACTGTACAAGGCCAAATAAAGAATGAAATCAACACGGAGCTTCAGAGTTTAAACTGACCCGAACGAACAAAGTTGCTTCCTGCAAAGGCTCACGTCCCTTTACTCTTCCTTTATGTCTTATGGTAGGGGCCAATCATCTCCAAGCCTTACTCCCCAATCGCCCTTTTTGTCTTAACTGTTCTTGCCTTCTGGCAGCTCTGCGCAAGCGCACACTGGGAACAGACTCTCCCTGTTCGTCTGCCTCGCTGATGTCAGATTCTGGAAGCTCCGGAGTCAGCACATAACTCTCAGATGGCGCTGTGTGTCGAACGCAGATCCCTCGTCCAAGCCCTCCCCAGACTCCAGGACTGGCCCATGTTCCTCCCCACTGTCCGACTCTGCGGCCAGCTCCGCAGGCCGCCGGTAGACCACACCATAACAGGAGAACAAGTGTGCCATGCGGTAGCTACCCCCTGCAAAGCAGCATGCCCTGGGATGGGCTTCCCTCATGAGAGCAATATGGAGCCTCTCTTTGTAATGATAATTACCACCTCCGAGACTACAAACACATACCAGGAACGATTGTTTGCTTCCCATTGGTTTTAAATGTAAGCAGAGCTCTGCTTTGTTTCTAAAGCCTTTATTTTGGTGTTCCACGGTTAACTAGCTCTTAGAGAGCCATTAGGGAAATTTCCTTTGGAAAGCATCCACTGTATCAAATAAGAGGCCACTATCATTTGGCAAATCAATTGGCCGAATGCTAACTTGGCATTTGTTAAAAAAAAATAACAATAATAATAATACTTGTGATTCATTTTATATAATAGCCCTCATTTTCTGTAAATGCAGGACTGGGGACCATTCATAATTTATAATGGCAAATTAACACTGATGTATTAGCCCAAAAGCCATACAGCACAAAGGTTGAGTGGCTTAGCCGGTGATTGTTGTCCTAGCTAAACAGGATGACAAATACAATTTTCCTTTCATTTCTAAGAACGGTATTGTCCCTGGCACTAAAATGATCAGAGGCTGGATGGCAGCTGCTAAGCCCTTTTCTGATGTTTGGTTTTAATATCACAGCTGGGTCGAAGGGAAGGACAAAGCAAAAAATAAATAAATAAAAGTTGCACAACTGATAAGCAAAGCCCTCTGCAGCTCAACTGTAGTGAGAGAGACAACCGATGTTATAAATCAAGCACCTCCATTATTGTAGAGCAGGTAGCCAGACAGCATCTAGCATATGTCTTGTAAGTTTTATAGACCGGCATAGAATCATACACTAGAATCGTACAATAAAGGGCCTTGAAGGCCTTCGGTGTTGTGGTTCGCTGGAAGCCAGTGCAGACGGCAGCAGAATCGGACAGTGGGGAGGAACGGGGATCAGTCTGGGAGTCTGGGGAGGACTCGGAAGAGGGTCATGTGTCCAATGCAGAGACAGGGCCAGAACCATCTGGAAGTGGGGTGCTGCCTTCGGAGCCTTTGGAGTATGGCAGCAGTGAGGCAGAGCACCCAGGGGAGCCTGTTCCCAGTGCGCATGTGCGCAGAGCTGCTAGAAGGTGAGAGCAGCCGAAACAAAAGGGGCAAATTAGGAGTAAGGCTGGGAGGTGATTGCCCCTCCCATAAGGGCTAAAAGTCAGGCCTAGATGATGAAACCTTTGCAGGAAGCAAAGTAGTTTGATCGGTTCCGAGTCATCCTTGAAGCTGTGTGTGGACTTTGTACTTCGTTTGGCTTTTTATAGTTCATTTGGCTCTTCTGTTGGCAGCAATTCAAAGGAAAGAAAGGTGGGTGCTTATTTAGAAGGGCTATTTGGGATTCATTATAGGCTGGGAATGAACATAATTCCCAGTGTTGAAATAAAACAAGAGTTGTTTTAACTAAGCATGTGCTTAATTACGGTCTCAGGAAGCCTTGGTCAGAACATTCCAGTCCAACCACTTGATGCAGTACAGGAGTCTACATTTCTAAAAGCTGATTTTATTTGCCATTTTTGCTAACTTACTGTACATTAAAGGAATAGATATTATAATACCATAACACTTCTTCAGACATACCTTATTATTATTATTATTATTATTATTATTATTATTATTAAACTGAGACAGGCTGTGGTTCACAAGTGGCAATTGGTTATGTTTTCCATATACTGGAGGTTACAGCATTGCTGGGTTCACCCAGTGTGTAAAATTAGGCTAAATCTAACTGAAAAGTTAAAGTTGACCACAAGTGAGAAACGCAAGCACTGTTTCTTAATGGTTGCATGACAGCTGAAGTGCCAGCTTTGCTAATTAACACTGTGCACCATTATGGCAAGAATTGATGCAATAAATCTGTCTGGCCATTGATATGTTCAAAAGATTAGCTGTTGGAAATCTAATTAATGTATTATAAAACTCTCAGTGGTTTTCTTTGCACAAATCAGATGGAAACTTCTATACTGTGAACATCCTGATGGAGCCAAGCAAGGCTACGAAAGTGTATTTTAACTTCCATTTCAACTTTCTTCATATATTCTCTTATACACACTAAACTCTTGTGCTGAACGCTGCCTCTTATGAGCACAGTTGAGCCCAAAATTTCTATGTGGTAAGAGAAACACTTGTTAAGTGAGTTTCCCCCCTCCCCATTTTACAAACTTCCTTGCCACAGTTGTTAAGCGAATCGCTGCAGCTGTTGAAGTTCGTAACATGGTCATGGAGTGAATCTGGTTTCCTCATTGACTTTGCTCGTCAAAAGATTGCAAAAGGGAATCACATGACCCCAGGACCCTGCAAATGTCATAAATATGAGTCGGTTGCCAGTCATATGAATTTTTTTTCATATGAAAAAAGAAAGGAATTCCTAGTGAAGTTGAAGTAATAAATAACATTTTGACTTGTGCTGAAATGGATAGGCTAACGCCAGAGATGAAAAACAAGGATGAATCGAAATATTATATAATTTGGAATAGATTGTACTATGGGTGGGGACAGAAAGGAAGGGTTGAAGTTTGAAAAGAATTGTTAAGGGGACATTTCTGATCACAAGACTTAAATTATATCAAGAGTATTGAAAGATATAAATAAGGCCAGTCCAGGGGAGGGATTCAAAATTTTTAACAACCGGTTCTGTGGGTGTGGCTAGGTGGGTGTAGTCATGTGACTGGGTGGGTATGGCTTTTTCTGTTTTCTTTTTTTTCTGTTTTTTTTTTCAACAACCCCCCCCCCCCCCCCCCCGGGCCAGTTTTTAAGCCTCTTGAGGGGGTCGCTTTTGCTCCCAGGAGGCTTCCCTGGGGTCCAGGAAGGTAAAAAACGGAGCGCAGGGAAGGCATGCAGCACAAACTATGCTCCGTTTTTGGGCCTTCTGGGCCTCAGGGAAGCCTCCTGGGCAAAGCCAGTAAGACAGCGAGCGGGATAACAGCTGATCATTGGAACAGCTGATTGTTGGGAGGGGAAAAAAGAAATACCTTAAGGAGTGATTGGGTGGGGGAGAACGCAATCAGCGATGTCGCGCATGTGCGATAAGG